CATTCTGCAGATGCATGTTAGAATGTTAGTGAGTCTCAACACGTATATGACACCAGAGTCCATAAGTTCTGGTCCTTTTTCAGTCCTCTCCACGGCTTTGTATAAATTCTGGTCTTTGTGCGGGTTAAATGTGATCTGCAACGGCACAAGGTTCTGCTTCAGTAGCAGAGTTTTGAGTCAGAAAGCCGCACAATCAGGCGTCTGATGAGTTAATCGATCCAGACTTTCCAGAGTCTGATTGTTGTTAATGCAGCTCCACCATAAAACTCTCCACCCAGCTGTAACTGGCAGAACCAGAGCAGCTTCCAGTCAAAGTAAACCCAGTAGGACCTTATGTTGTAAACACCGGATTAGAACAGAGTCCGGTACAGTCGGGTCGTCACATCTCATGTAGTTAATCAGCCTTCAAGGATGTTTCATGTTGACGAGACCAGAGACGTCTGAGATGCTTCTCTAAGCCCAGAGTTCTACAGAAACCTTTGTGTTATTAATTAAACCGTGACGCTAAACATCTGAAAGCTGTTCGTTTAGTTCAAGTCAGTACTTAACTGTTAGGTCCACTTTCAAAGTAAAATCAGTGGAACTCTTTGGTCATGATCCTAAAGTTGGCACAAGTTTGAGCCAGTTGCATTTCTCTAGTAAAGATCACAACTTTTGAAGTCCTAGAAACCACCTGAAGCTGAGCTTAGTGTGTAAAAGTCCAGGTGGGGATGTCAGGATGAATGCTGAGGCTTTGTTCCTGTTATTGTTCCATCTCAAAGCATCTTCAGATGTTGACGATCAGCAGTTATTTAATTAGCTGCTGTTACTAATTTAACCAAATAAAACTATGCTAACCGATAAATCAGAGGAAAAGGTCGTGCATGTCAGAGTGGTGGACCAGCTGTAGTACCTGCTTGTGTCACCAGGTGGCGTCTGTAGCCATCTGATGCTGAGGAGGATTCCCAAACATTACACTGTGAATCGGGCCGCTGCGTTGTTTCCGAGGGTACGTAACGGGAAAATATTTAACAACAAGCGCTGACGGAGTTTCGCTACCATCGTCTTCGCTGCTATCGCTAGCGCATTCGCCGCTAACCGCTAGCAGCATTCGCTTTTGTTTAAATTCCTTTTGTAGACGGTTACAGAAAGTGTTTTTATAGACTTTCTGACTTTTCTTTATCGTTGGTGTTCACTGAGCGAGCGTCTTCAAAGGCAGCAAAGCTTCTAACTGATGTTCAGGTGGGAGAATAATTCCCATCGTGATGTCCACCATCTGATCTGGGCTCTGTTCCTTCAAGACACAGAAAGTCAGAATAGTTCTATCAAAGGGCAGGAAGTTAAAAAGTTCTGCAAGACTTGTGGTTAATTCTGGTCGTGCATATTTAATTTAATGTGCAGTGCTTCAGTTTTATGTGGAACATCTCATCTTCAGGTGCAGCGTTTTCTGTTCCAGCCTCGTGTTGGCTGTTTAACCTCAGTATCGTACTTCTGTCTGTTTAGACGCTGGGTTTCCTACGTTGGGTCATTTTGTTCTGTCTGAGGGAACAATCAGGTTCTCTCTCTTCTTCTTTATTCCTTCATGAATGCTGATTCTGTGCCGTGGAGCGCTGAGGGTCCGGTCCAGTTTGAGGATGTCGGTGCCTTTTCTCTGCTAAATGCTAATTCTGCTCCGTTCTGACGAGGCCGACGCATTACAGAACCTCTCGCTCCGGGCCTCCTTTCGGTCCGTGGCCCGCATCGCGCCTCGCCCGCGGCCCGGCGTGGGCATCGGCGCTGTGCTGCACGTAGCAGTTAAAGTGCTGGAAAGGGCTGCTGTGGTCTGAGGCCGGCGGGGGAACAGCGGGGTCGGAGTATTTATACTGCAGCCATCTCCGTGTTCTGTCGCTCGCTCGCATTCCCCCAGATCGCATTTCTCCTAAATGATGGTGTCGGGCCTCGCGGCATTCTTGAGGTTTTCTCCCAATCTGTTTTTCTTCGCAGAAACGGCGGAAATAGCAGATCTGGTCTGGAGACGTCGCGCACAAACACCGACGGCGCGAACGTTCGTTTCAGACACACGCAATTAGGCTGAGATTGGTCTGAAACGAGCGCCGTGCCCGACGCGAGCTCCAGAGTCAGACGGATTGTGTGAAGGTTTGTGGAGGCCCGAGGAATGTTTGTGTTCCAGCGAGAGGGCTGTAGTTTGAGTTAAAGGGGAGATCCTAAAATAACCGGGCGGCCTTGTGAAAGTATGCGAGGGAACGGCAGCTCCAGGAAATGATGGATCTGTGGATGTGTGGCTGAACAGACGTGCATCGCTTCGGTTTGTCGGAGTTTTCTGTGTCCAGCCGAAGCCACATGCAGAAATATTAGACGCTGAACGGCTTTACGTCCTGCGTGCATCATCACACGGACTTTTAACACGTGTTCAATGTGCTGAGCAACACGTCTGTTTGGTTCTGAGCAGAGACCGCTGCAGGCTTTGAGGCATTGTCTGACTGCTACCACTTTGGAGCTTCACTGTTTTAGAGATAAGAAGATGAAGCCACATCCACACCTCACCACAGAGACCTTAACGAACCCCACTGTGGCAGGGGGAGCACTAACGACCCACATAACGAGGGGGAGGAGCAACAACCCTCCAATTAAAACTCAGGTGTTAATGTCTCCTTCAGGATATCAGTCTGTGGAACTCCCAACTAGTCAGAGCTGATTGGATGAGAGGTGGAACCCAATCAGTCCAGTTGATTAATCTACCAGAAGAACCACGAGCTGGAGGACTGAGGACCTTCACAGACATGTTTCTGAGATGTTCAATGTGTTTTCATCAGCGAAGCTTTGACTGAAGTCTGAAGACACTAAACGAACCTCAGTCATGACAGCAGAAAGTTCAGACCACTGAAAACCAGTAAACAGTAAATAAATGATAAAAATAACGGAATACTGTAACATTTAAAAAAAATATAAAAACTGGAAATGCTGTGAAATGATGGCATTTTATTGTCTGACATTGTAAAAGAACAAACTACAGATTTTTGATGTGGACATTTTGTTGTTTTGGCCACTTTTTATTTTTTTTTTTTAAGTTAAGCTGTGGTCTCGGACAGAACCGACGTCCTGCACAGCGAACAAGTGGAGCCGACATACATTACATCACTGAGAGGAAGGAAACCGTCTGATCCTCACATGCATCCAGCAGATATCAGCTCCGTGCATCTCCCAGCAGCCTGAGTGGGCGCTCTTCCACTGATGCATCAGCGCTGCCCTGAGTGGGAGACGATGGCGTCGCATCGTTAGCGGTGGAGGCCACAGTGTGTGGGCACATCCAGGCTGAACATCCTCCGACTATCAGACAGATGATCAGCAGCAGCTACCAGCACATTCACAGCAGCGCTGTGGTTTATTTCAGGGTCCGTACAGATTAATCAGCCACCGGTACTTATGACTGAACCTGTCATTTATAACCAGGTTTAAACCCTCATGAGGATTACTGAAGCTGAAGGTGTGCGATAGAAATAGAAGTTATGATGTCAGAGGGTCACGTGACGTTAGGACTGACCGATTAATCGATCGAGATCAATGACAGTTTGTCTCCTGTAGCTTGGTCTGCTCATCTTCTCTGTTTTCTTAATCTTTCTCTGTTCTGTCACTTTATTGACCTAAAACTGTATTAATTATTGTTTGTAGACCAGCTGTAGTACCTGGTTGTTCCACCAAGTGGCGCCTCTTACAGGTGTGTCTGCTGACTGACTCTGATGGTCCAAAAAACAAGCGCACCTCTTTGTGGTAGCGTTGATGAACTCTTCAGCATTAAGTTGTAAAATGATGTCTACCTGCTGTCAAGTTTGGCTAGCTACCTGACAGTCATGCTAACAATGCTAAGCTAGGAGGTTCAGATGCTGGCACAGCTGAGTGTCTGTGAGAGAGGGTTAGCGGGTGGATCCCCAAAACACGGTGAAAACCTGTATTCTGTACGTACAAGTCAGTAAATGTACCATAGAGCAGCTGCAGTACCTGGTTGTTCCACCAGGTGGAGCCTCTCACTGTTTAGAGACCAGAGGAGACGTCACTCAGACTACAGCTCATGGTGGCAGCAGAGAGCATTGTGGGAGTTTAGCAGCAACAGGACCATGTGGTGGTTCATGAGCTCCAGCCAGAGCTGATGTGTTTTTTTGTTTTTTTTTAAATATATTTTTTTGGGCTTTTGCCTTTATGTAGAGCAGTGGAGAGAGACAGGAAAGGGGGGAGAAGAGTGAGGGAGAGACCTGCAGCAAAGGGTCGTGAGCGGGATTCAAACTCACAACCGCTGCGTCGGGGACTGTAGCCCCTGTTCATGGGTCGCCCGCTCAACCAGGTGAGCTATACGGGCGCCCCAGAGCTGATGTGTTTTAAATGAAGCGTCCTGATGCAGCTCTACAGGCTGGTTCTGTGTGATGGAGGATGTAAACCAGCTGATCCAACACCTTCAGCTCTGGTCATCAGTCCGACCTAACCGGGCCTGTCTGTGTGTTTCAGGTGGAGCAGTCCAAAGTGCTGATCAAGGAGGGCGGCGTCCAGCTGACCCTCACCATCGTGGACACGCCGGGGTTCGGAGACGCCGTGGACAACAGCAACTGGTGAGCAGCGCCGGCCAGGTCACATGTCCGGTACCGTCCAATCCCCTGCTCTGACTCCTGTCCTCCTGTCCTCCAGCTGGCAGCCTGTCATCAACTACATCGACAGCAAGTGTGAGGACTTCCTGAACGCCGAGTCCAGGGTGAACCGCAGGTCCATGCCGGACAACCGGGTGCACTGCTGCCTGTACTTCATCGCGCCCTCCGGACACGGGTACGTAGCGCCACGCCGCCGCCGCCGCCGCCACTGCAGAGTCGGGCAGGAGATCTGGACTCCTGCAGCCTGGATGCAGCAGCCAAGCGAGCGTTGGCGTGTCTGTAGACGACGAGGCTGCCAGCCAACGTTTGTGACCCACTAACGTTATGTAACCCAGTTCTGCACACGCTCAGTAGCGCTCTGCTCCTCGTCTCTGAATCAGCCAATCAGAGTGGAGGCCTGGTCTCAGACAAACACCCTCTGCAGAGTGTGAGCCTCACAGAAACCCAAATCCATCCATCAGACTGGATCCAGACC